AAAAACATGTCTTATATTATGACTTTTAGGCCTGCTATTTACAAAACAATCGTTGGCCGTAACGCTCTAGTTTCAAGGGATTTTCTAGCAGTTGCAAGTAATAGTAAATTATACAAAATTGCTCTCTATTCATTCATATTTACGAACTTTTAGAGCATAAATATACGTCTCAGTTATTATAAACACCATATTACAGCGAGGTCACGAGGCCTATACGTAGTTTACCGACGGTAATGATTTTTTTTTTTTTGAAGCTACTATAGGATATAAATACAGATACCATAACCACTTTATCGAATTTATTTATTTATTTAAACTTTATTGCACATACACTGTGAAATTGGTAGACTTAATGCCGTAGGCATTATCTGACAGTCGACCATTGGGTGGTGTGGTGCAGAATGTTATAGCGGTAGGTGCAAAATTATAGAAAAGAAAGTATGAGTATAATATTAAAGAGGGAAGACATGATCGTTATAATCAATAATTTACCTCTGATAATATTCTAAAGTATGTGAATAAAGACATTGCAAATCTCATCTGAGGGTCTAATACGGCTTTTTTGTAAGTTCTACGCAATCGAACGAAACGTTACCGCGGTTAGCCTTCTGATTTGTTGGATAATTGGAGCAGGCCAATCAGAACGCGGAAAGTCATAAGCCTGTCGATCGAGTTAACGTAGTACAAATTCGCACTAAGCCCTCAGACATCTGTACCGTCTACAAACATATATATGAGACAGAGGGATTCAGTTTCTAAGGACTCTAAAGAAAAACAGACATGCGCAAACGGAACCTCAAATGTCCTTCATAAAGGTCAAGTGTGACACTTCTAGCGATATTTAACCACGTACTAACAAAGATTGTAAGAAACACATAGTTAAAGATTTCATTGAAATCACGTTCGATGAAGTAAAATCAAATATTTTTGCGATTAGCATAAGCAAATATTTGTCTAAAGTTCTAAACTATTGGATGGTGTGATCCGTATTCCTTGTACATTCGATTTGTTTGTTCAGTTTAACGATTACTCATTGTATTTGTTAATTTAATTTTATTATCGCTGGTCTATTATATTATACTATTTTCATCCTCTATTACAAAAGCAAAGGATAACCCTAAATTGCTGAGACTACTACTGGAGTCCTCTTTTTCCTTGGAGAAGAAAAATCATCTAATAACTTCTCCCGCATTGTGTGTGGCGAAAGAGAGTGTCAGGTCAGACTCTTACTGACTAAAAACCACCCCGAGCCTACTCCTGCTTTAAGCCGGAGCCCCGATAATCCGTGAGGTTATCCGCAATTACTGGGGGTCCTAAAGCTAAAATAAACATAACATCTAGCAAAGCTAAGGGAACTTTCCCCTGTGTACTAAACCACTAGACTATAATTAACCAAAGAAATCCTTTCATATATCCATAAATATCTTTCTTTTCCACTTACTGGCAGCTTGCCCATAGAGCCATATCTGACATTGGCACTTTACATCCATAATTAAAACAGATTCATAAGCTGAGCACCAGTAACGCTCCGTCGGTGAAGCAAGACGAGCTGCCGACCGCGACCTGCCTTTCATATTTTTAACATTATTGCACTCGCTAACTAGAAGTAGTTTAAATAATTCAAAGTAAATGCCCTTTTCTATTTTCTACATAAATATTTAAGAAGGCGACATCTATGTACGAATTAAGAACAATTTGATATTAATGACACTGACAGATTCCAAACGTCAACGGATGACAGTTTCATAAATCGAAAACTGTCATCTGCACATCGTTAAATGCCGAAAAAACATTTGAAAAAATTGAATGGTACAGATTAAGAACAATAGACGATTTGTCGCAAATATCTTGTAGTAAAAAAATGTAATGTCCGTTCTATTATTTAGTAGACAAAGTGCTCAACTAAATAATATCAATCAAAAACACAGTTATGTAAGACAGGCAATAAAATAACAATAGTAATAAAGTGAATGCATCGATCTTCGTTAGTGTAGCTCCATTGATGAGCATAACAACAAAAGACTTACATAAACATAACATAGCGGTTTATTTTGAAAGATGATGGCACACTATTTAATCTGTGGGCCAGTATGGGTGTTCTACATAAACGCTGTCATAATATTGCCGTAAATAGAATGGGCTATTATGTGTTTCATTAATCTATTGTATATCTTTTAGGTTCTCTGTTACATCAAATGGTAATTTCTTAGATTATGTTACGTTAACCCGTCGAGCGTCCGCGTTCCTTATGATCCAACGGGTGCACACGTGACATTTGGAGAAAGAAAGAAAATGCATTTATTTGGCCATTGGCACACGAAAACAAGGATCATTACAATAGAAATAAAACAAATACAGTCAAAATAAAAACAAAACATTAATAATAGATTTTATAAAAGAGAAAGCAGTATGGAGCATTTTTCTTATGATCCACCGGGTGCTCATAAGGACGCTCGAGGAGTTAATCCCACATTAATTTTGTCTATGTGGCCGTAATGAATGCAGATGTTCTTAAATAATTTTTAGTCCAATATTCTACCCTCTTCCGAAGCAGTTAACCAGTGTCTAGTAGCAAAATCACAAGCCGATTATTTTTACTTCATTCATTAGGACTTAAATACTAAAGGCCTAACCTCTTGAACTTTAATAACTGCGTAACTGCGATCCATAGAGCCGATGTCAGGCTAGATAATTATAGCAAATCCTCTTATGCAGCAGTTGACGCAAATCCAGCTAACGATGATACAAACAAAAGTTAAACATGTAAAATTAATAAGCTTACTAATATTGCTGCCTCGTTGCCCGAGTGGTCGCATTATTGGGTTTTTAAAAATCTCAGTTGTAGCATGGAGCCTGGATATGTGCCCGATATATGGCAATAGGTTCACCCCCTATTACATAAATAGTAAAAAAGTGGGTGTTACATTGTATAGTGGCAATAAGTGCCGTAATGTGCGCCTCTGCCTACCCCTTAGGGGATAAAAGGCGTGATGTTATGTTATGTCTTACTAATATTATAGATGTTGATGAAAGTTTGTGTGTGTGTGTGTTTGTGTATATGTTGTTACTTCAACTGAACACTTCACTTCACTTCACTTCACTTCACTTACACTTCAAAACTGAAAGGATCGGAATGAAATTTGAAATTTGGTAAATAACAGAATAACACAGATTATTTTTTATCCTACTGGATCGTATGCTACTGGAAGCTGGTCTTATATACTAAAGCCTTTGTAAGGCAACAATTACAAATCTTTAGGTCAAGACGTAAATAAACAACAATTTATCACCCTCTTTAGCAGCGGTACGAGCACGACAATCCGGTCCTAATTGACCAGATTACGAAACTAGGTATACAGGTAGACTGACTGTAGTCCAACAGGTGGTAAACAAAGTAATAAAATACCTAACGCTTTTACCGTTCCATCTGAATTGCGATGCTGCGTAGAATCTCAGATACGATGTTTAGTACCGAATACGGATTCAATCTTGTTTTACACCTTGAATATATTTCTATTGATGTTTGCGAATCTAGTTTATTATAGGCTGGCTTTTACCCGAGGATTTGCACCTGTGATATAGGCTATGTCTATCTCCGTACTCCCAAGAACATAATGTATGCAAAATTGCTAGATTGGTTTATCATAACATCGCCTATTATCCCTGAATGGGTAGGCAGAGGTGCACATTATGCCATTGTACAATGTAACACCCACTTTTCACTATTTACGTTATGAGTCCCATGTAATAGGGGGTGATCCTATTGCCGTATACCGGGTACAATTCCAGACTCCGTGCTATAACTGAGATTAAAAAAAAAAAAACCCTATGATACTTTGCCCGACCCGGGAATCGAACCCGAGACCCCTTGTCCGGCAGTCGCCTTTGCGACCACTAGGCCAACGAGGCAGTTTCGAACTTAAACCGGAGCTCTTATTAAGGTGTACGTTAAAGTATGAATATACGAAATTCATCATCATCATCAACAGCCTATAAATGCCCACTGCTGAGCAAAGCCTCTTCTCACAAGGGGAAGGTTAGAGCATTAATCACCACGCTTGCTCAATGCGGGTCGATTCGGGCGGGCGATTTCAAACTTATAATTAGAAATTATAAGTTCAGGTTTTTCACGATGTTTTTCCTTCACCGTTTGTCAGTGGTGTCTAAATAATCTTAGAAAGTACATATAACTCGGAAAAAGTCACATTGGTACTTGCCGTTGGTAGGTTTCGAACCCGCACCCTCATGCATGAGAAGTGGGCGTCTTAAACCTCCGGGCCACCACGACAACTCTTGACTTGATATTATGAGTTGGAAATAAAGCTATTAGAAATACCACTACTTGATAACTTGTTATAAAATAAATAAATGATAAACGTATATATGTATAGGTGCATTTAACATTAAATGGAGACTCCATTTAATGCTAATGCAATCGAATGCAAGTAGGTTATTTGAATATCTAATTTACATCGTAAGTGACACAGATGAATGGAATTCCAAACGATATGAGCAAATATTATAATAATAGATAGCAAATATATTTTATACGATACTAGCTCTTAATGACTTAACTAACTTGTGTAACTTGATGGCCAAACCATCCTTTTATTACACGTTGAATAATACCCCCTGAGAAAGATGTCAATAATTTACATAAATTAGTCTTTTTTTAAGGGGGAAAATCATCGAATGACTGCTCCCGCCTGGGTGAGGCGGGAGGGAGTGTCAGACTCTTACTGACTAAAAACCACCCCGTTTCTTCTCCTGCACGTCGAGCCGGAGCCCCGGTAACCCGTTAGGTTCTCTTAGTCTAGAGACTAATGAGGACCTCCATTTTTGCACTCCCTAGATGGCATACTTGTCGAATGAAGTCTTATTTGGTCATGTCATGTCGTTTACAGCTCATTAATTGAAAGTAGTCGTAGATTATCAGGAATCTTATCATATTTTACGTATAGTTTTAACTCCTACTATACTTGAAATGCTTCCTTTTTCAGCACAAAGTCGAGTTCTGTGCTGAGCGGCGCGGACAAGGAGCCAGTGCCGGCGCCTTCACCCGCCGACTCAGGAGTCGCTGAACTGGAGAGAGATCAACATGACTATAGGTGAGTGGAACTTGTCCTTACTATATAATATTATAAATCGGAAAGTGAGCTTGTTTGTTTGTTTGTTCCGCTTTCACGCCGTAACTACTAAACCGATTGCTTTGAATTTTTGCAGACGTAAAGTTAGAAATCTGGATTAAATAATGGGGTACTTTTTATCCCGGAAAAATTTGATATTCTCGAGGGAAAACGAAATTATTGGTATAGATGGCGCTGTGTGTATTGGTATATGCACATAGGCTACTTTTATCCTTTTGTGACGCGGGCGAAGCCGCGGGTAAAATCTTGTAATACATAGACAGTAAGAGAGAAACTACCTCGTTGTGAGTGAGTTACGACTGTTTCAAAGCTTGATTGTCAGAGCAACGAATTATTGAGATAATTGGTAACTGATTTTTTGGGGCAGACTTCATACACTGGCAATAAGATCTTTCCTTATTAATCCCTTGTATCTGGGGATAAAAAAGATAATGTGCCATTTATTGAAATGGACCTCCGTCTCTCTTCGGAAAAAGATAGCGATATCATTTATTTCCATTCACATGAAAGAATAAATATGTAGCCCATCTACATATAGTTTATAGCTCATAGGTCATACAGACAATTCTAGCGGCTATAAATATTCTACTCTCAACAGCTTTAGTAGGTTGGGTTACGAGGTTTCACGGCAACCGCTATAAAACTCTATAGGTTCATAGTTTCGAGGAATGTATCATACTTTCTAATGCCATTTGTTTTATGCACTAGTAGTAAAATCAGACGAAGAGTTTAATTACGTCTTAAATGCATATAAACAAGTGCATGTAAAATAAATTATCGAAGCTAAGAACTCGATTGAAATGTTTCCAATCAGTGAAAACTGGGTTTAGAATGACTGTAACATAGGAAAGGAGATAGATCTTATAAAAGAAGATGTATCACTTATCTGAAATAAATTGAAAGAAATTTTGAGACAAAAGAGGATTACGCTATTACAACTATATCAAACCACAGCATTTCACTAAAAAGTTACCTTAGATTCAATTCAATTATAACCACCAGTTTTATTACACAGCCCAAAAGTTCTTCAGACATTAAATGATTTTTTTTAATGTTACAGCACAACGGAACGCATTCGAAGTCATGAAGTTCGTGTACGAGCAGCCCGAGGTCTCATGATGCAGAGCTTCGGACGCTCCCGAGATGAGCGGGACGCGGAACTGGCGCGCGTCAGGCGAGACCGAGCGCTGCTGCGTCAGAGGCTCGAGGACACCGAGTGGAGTCTCTGCCAGAGAGCTGGGGAGATTGCTTTGTTGAAGACACAGCTTAAGGACGCTCAGGTTGGTTGCATTTTTTTTAAACGTTGCACTAAACTAGGGTTTTCTCCAGTGTCGTGGGTGCATTTCCAAACGACAAATTCACATACACTTGACACCCAGACCCGAAATAACGCTGCACTGCAGCCAGTTGCCCAGCCACCGCACCAACCGCGCAGTCAATTTGTAATTATTTTATACCGGGCATGGTGAAAAAAGATCTAACAGTACATTGATATTCAAAATCTTAGTTGGTTAGGCATTTTTGTAGATAACCTAGACACTTTTAATTACGCAGCTACCCAGAAAGACATTAAAATGACCAAAATTTTAGTATTTTCAATAACGTCCTCTTCTGTATTTCCAGAACGAACAAACAGCAAAGGGACACGAGTACCTCACCTTGAAGGCGGACTGCCGCCAACTGAGAGAAGTCCTCGACAAGAAAGAAAAAGAAATCATGAGGCTCCGAGCAGAAACGGACGAAAAGGAAAAGTCCATTAACCGATTACAATCAGAAGTAGACCGCCTCACCAACGACCTCATGGAAAGCGTGTCAGACCTCACCAAGACCAAGGAGACCAGCAAAAATGAAATCGAAAGACTAAAAACCGAGCTGAAGGAGCTTAGACAAGAACTGTCGGATATCTCTCTCAGTGGATACGAAGGCATCGAGTGCGGGAGGACCATGAGAGGCATCTACGACGTCTGCAAAACTAATGAGTACCACTGGAACTCCAGTGATAGTGCCTTAGAAGATGCTGAAGTTCAAAGACTGAATGGAGAGCTGCCGGACTCGTGCAGCGAGCCTTGCGCCGCTACCGCCATCGTCGACAGACTCAAGTGCGAACTGGAAGCTAAAGAAACCCAGTTCAACAACGAGAGAAGAAAATGGTCCGAAGAAAAGGACAAAGTACTTCGATACCAGAAACAATTACAGCTGAACTATGTCCAAATGTTTAAGAGATCTCGTACTTTAGAGGCAGAAGTGGACGGCCTGAGGTTAGAACTAGAATTATGTAACAAGAACATGAAAAACTTGAACAAACATGGCAAGACTATCGAGCTATAAACATTACCAAATTGAAATAATTTAATAATAATATTTATATTTAAATGGCTATTTTCTAATGTAAATATACAATTAAGAGAAAAGGCGAGATTATTATTAATGTTAACAAAGATATAAGGATGGTTGATGAAAATGAAGAGAGTGTACTCGAAGCTGATGGTGTTGATCAAAGAATGGCAGATCGTGGTTTGAGGAATGTAAACTATGACGATTTCTTGCCTTAAAAATGACAATATGAAACTGTAGTTGAGTTTATCAAAGTTATGTTAGATTATTGCCGTCATAATACTCAACTAGCAGATTAGAGACGGACGTGTGGACCGATTGTTGCAAATTATGTTATGTCAGAGTAAAATGTTGATTCAAAGAATTTGATTACAACTAGAAGGCAGTAGTGCTTACAAGGTCTAAAATTCGTTAATAAACATAGAAGCCAATATACCTAATACTTTCGCGGAGAACCTAACGGGTTACCGGGGCTCCGGCTCGAAGCGCAGGAGTAGGAACAGGGTAGTTTTTAGCCAGTAAAAGTCTGACACTGACTGTTCCCGCCTCACCCAGGCGGAAGCAGTCATTCGATGATTTTCCCCCCTTAAAAATAAATATACCTATTTACCTAATACTAATTAAACCTGATGCCTATTTTATTTTAAAGTTTATGCTGGCAAACCAAATAATCAAGACGATTTTTCAATCGGGGCCGATCGTATTTTTTCTCACCAGACGGGGCTAGTGTCCACCTCTCGTTTTAAGTCCATTATGGAATGAATTAGTTTCACATTATTGGACGTTCCATATCTGACAACTGCTGTAATTGGACAAACAATCCGGTCCTACAAAAAAAACGTAGGCCCCCATTAGGACTAGCTGGAGTAAAGGAGTAAAAAATATTTATTCCTATCTCTTACTCTATCAAGAAAGGATTACACGGACAGTTATGTACAAAAATAAGTCCAGGATTTTGATCGTCGAATCTGAACTGAGAACCCTATCATATGGAACTTAATACATTCATCAATCAACATAGTATTATGTGTAAAGAACGTTGTAACGACGCGTAATATAAAATAATTCAATGCCATGCTCATTTATTACGACTATTAAGACATAACAGTTAGATATTAAATTATTTTCTATAGAAAATACAACAATTGGTTCACACTCCCACGTCTATTGTAAATTATACTAGAGTAATGTTGATCATACTTTTATAACTTAGTTCGTTAAGTTATTTTAATAAATTACTTTAAAATATTACTTTATTGTTTTTTTTCTCCCGTGTCTAGTTTTTAACAGATCATTTTTGCTCTCTGTTGAAGTTAGGAGTTCTTGATTAAATATTTTAAAAGGTTTTTAATAGGTTTTCAAGACGTCAAATAGTTGTAAATTGAATCACAGAACCCTGGGTTTATTTTGTTCATGATCATGACTTACCTACTAAAACTATCCAGTTCCTTAAGAAGAGATAATATTTTGTTTTAGAAATAATATCATTGTTGCTATGTTGTCTTAGCGTTATAGTCGTCTGAGCAATGTCTACAAACTTACCTACAAATAATCTGCACTTTAGCGACTGAAGCAAAGTAAAATTAAATAAATAAAAGTAATTTTAGTATGATATGGTAAAATATTGAATACAACGCCATCTATCGACAATGTTCGGAAGCTAATCGTTCACCTTGGAAGTTTCTAGAACAACATTAGTTACCGATCACAGATTCTTAACGTCACACAACCAAAAGTAGATTGGATGTAGGATATAATTACATCTTATAAATCACATTCTATAAGTATTTGATGGGTAATTAAAACAAATTGGAGGTGCCACGTGTTTATTGCAGACACACTTGCATACATTGGGGCAGAACTATACAATATTCTTAATAATAGAAAAATGAGATCAATAAACACTTGGAAAATACCTAGAGATAAATTAAAATTAAAATATTTTTATTAAAATTACACGAGTCAACCATTTCACCGTTGTTTCGTAGTTTTAAGAACTGATTTCGTAAAGCACGTACCACCGACTTACCTTCAGAATACTAGATGGCGCTGGTATACTTGTTCGAGATTTAATTTTGTTCCATTTTATTTATTAGTTCCAATTATGTTCGCTAGATAAGTCAGTAATAAAATAAAAGGAACTTTATTTGTTTACAGATAAGGAAGGTTTTTGTAAATCAAGTTACGGTTGACCGTTTGTATTAAAACTTGGGTTTGAAATTAAGACCTAAGTTTCTCCCTCTGAAGTTAAAACCTTCGCCTTGTTTATCGACGTTGTTTCTGGTTAGTTTCGCTGGCTCCACCTATGAATAATAAAAAAAGGTTAACAGGTTAACGCACACAGCTATTATAGATAACAAAAAATCTATAAAAATGTTTTTTTTTTTTATTATAAAAGTAATTTAAGGGTATTAAATACACAAATCAGTTACTTTACAAACTGCGTAGATAGTTATAGTCCAAAAAATTATTTGACATAAGACAAAAATTGTGATTATTGTCATTTTTATTAGTCACTAGCGACCCAGCCCGACTTCGCACGGGTGCATTTAGAAGCCTCTAAATTTATTAGTGTTTCTCTACTATATTATGCATGTATTATACATATGTATAAACCTTCCTTAAGAATCACTCTATCTATTAAAAAAAACCGCATCAAAATCCGTTGCGTAGTTTTAAAGATCTAAGCATACATAGGGACAGATAGACGGCGTATAGTGCCTTGTTTTATACTATGTAGTGATAATGGACATGAGTGGAAAACCGCACCTCATTAACGCCGTCTTCCCTACCAAACCTTGCTTCAATCTAGACCAGTTTTTATAGGTACCTGTGTAACATCTCCAACAGCAGGTCTCTTCCTCCACTTGTACCACCAGTACTCCACCCCCAGCGTGACACACGCCAGTCCAATCCCCATAAATATGACAATAAACACGCCCCCAATGTTCTGGATGGAGATCCCATCGGACTGGTCATCCTGCTTCTCACATTTCATGGACTCCGGGTTATTGTTCCACCAGATCTCTTTCAGTTTCTCCAGTTTGCGCTTGTTTAGCAGTTGGAGGATTCTGGAATTTGAAATGGGTCGTTGTGTCTTTAATTAAAAATAGGAAAATATGTGTTGTTTGAACATTTGTTGATCAGGCTCTTTTTTATTTATTTCTTAAGGGGGGAAAATCATCGATTGTCTTCTCCCGCCTGGGTGAGGCGGGAGGGAGTGTCAGACTCTTACTGACTAAAAACCACACCGTTCCTACTCCTGCACTTCAAGCCGGAGCCCTGGTAACCCGTTAGTTGTTGATCATGTTTCAGATTTCTACAAAATAACACTAATTTGAATTATTAGGTCTGAGGTCCATCCTTAAGAAGAATCTTACGGATATGTATTTAAATGCTATCTATTTAAGCAGCTACTTATTCTTAACAAAACATTTAATTTAAAAAAATAGTAACCCAGAGTCTATTAGCATAAAAAGAAAGATTAGTCAAGGATTTAAACTTCGAAAACTTACTATTAAAATTGTAAGCGTCAGGGTTCAAAAAGGCACCTTAACAAACATTAAACTTTTCATACCCTTTTAATCATAATATCTGAAATTGATACATACATACAAGCATACCTACATAATACATATAAGTAGAAACACAAACGTGAATATAAGTATAGTCCCTCCATCGATTGAAACATGAAAGGTACTTCGAAGGCATTAATCATTAAGTAATGTTGCCCACTTCACTTTGATCTGTTCCTACAACACAATCGATCTGTTTACATTCCGAAGTAAACACGATAATATCACACAGCATACTATATCGACAAATAGAAATTAAGTTAGAAGCTCTATGATTATGCATCGCTTTAAATAAATGACGTGGCTCTGTCATCGATAGAAATAATCGCATTAAACATAGTATTATTATGTTCTATAAATTCTAAGAAACTTGAATAATAGAAAATCGTAACCACATTTGATTGTTGTTTTGCCTCATACGTCAACAGAGTGTATGTTTTGTTGTCAACCATGAAGAGATTGTAAGACGGAGGAGTAGTAATTAACTTATAATTGGCGGGAGGAGTAATAAGTAATTATCTAAACAGCTGGAACATAAAAACGTCCTAGAATACCTATAGTGATTTGCCTGTGTTCGAGGCTTTGAAGCCGGGCCTTAAAAATTACATCATTGTTGATGAGCCTCTTGGCACACTTCTCGATGTGTTCTAGCGCGTGCAGCTGGTATTTAGATGAGCCGTTCCAAAGATGAGAACAGTAAGAGTATCTGCTCAGCAATTGTTTCGGCGTGAAGTACCGTCTCACTCTCCATAGGATACCCAACTTCCAGTCTACCATCCTTCCTACGTTGTGTAATAACACAGATTCTAATTCCAAAGTCTTGATAACTGGCCATATGTTTTTTTTTAATTGGGAAAATTATCGAATGGCTGCTCCCACCTGGGTGAGGCGGGAGAGAGTGTCAGACTCTTACTGACTAAAAACCACCCCGTTCCTTCTCCTGCACGTCGGGCCGGAGCCCCGGTTACCCGTTAGGTTCTCCGCGACTGATCATACGCTTAGGTAGTTTATTGGAACGGTTATTATGTTAGAAAAGCTGGCTATAGTCAAAATAGAGGGTGTTCCTTCTTTATGTACCTAAATCAAAACGTGTGGTAGTCATGATTATCCATTATGATAATCTATTTCCAAAATCCCATTACGACTAACAATATTTGTTCAATTGAAGCTAAGGTAATATTTACCAGATAGATAGTACAAAATGCGGATTACTATAAGTCGTGGACGATTTGCATTTTAAACAGTAGTTTTACGGAGAATCGACAAATGTCATCGAGGTCACCTTTGGAAAGACATTTGCATAGGACGTTAACCGTTTTCAATATGTCTAGCTAAGGTCTGTGCTAGCATCTATTATCTACCGACATGGTCATTGGCCATTTAAATTTTTTTTAAAGTTTTTTCGTTATTTTCTAGTTCTTATGAAGTAGTTTAAAGTTTGAGGATGTCGTGTAAATATGTTTGTAAACGCATAGAAAAATAGATGTTCTCAAAAGTAACTCAAAATGATATTAGAAACATTTTTGGACTAATAAACCAATAAAGAAAGACAAAATTATGACGTCAGAAGTTATTTCACTGCAGCTACTTTTTTGGCTATCTAGTTTATCCTATTAAACTTTAGTCTACACTAGCGCCAAGCGTTTTAAAGGTAATACAAATCCATCTACTTGTCGCGGAGAATCTAACGGTTACCGGTTCCGGCTCGAAGCGCAGGAGAAGAAACGGGGTGGTTTTTATTCAGTAAGGGTCTGACACTCCCTCCCGCCTCACCTAGGCAGAAGCAGTCAATCGATGATTTTCCCCCATAAAAAAAAATCGATCTACTTCGTATATTGTCCATATATTGTCGTATGATGCCATTTGCCTCATATAGGTATGAAATATAATGTGCGCAATTCTTACAATATCCACGGACTTTAATAAAGGCAGGGCTGTTGTTTATTTATTTATTCATAAACTGCTTTCATACAAGGAAAGCCCTCGTAATCGATACTTTATTCTCATTCGACGATTTCTGTGTGCTCAAATATAAGGCGGCCAACCGTCCCGTATTCTGCGGGACCGTCCCGTAATACTAGATGAAATCCCGCTTTGAAATAATTTATAAAATAGTCCCGTAAAACGTTAGATGCGTCCCGCAAGTCCCGCATACCCATTTCTTTTTTTTTTTCATTTCATACTACACGACACCAACACGCGCGCACTAACAATAAATGAAGATCGGAAAAATCGTCACTAAAAGTGAAAATACTACGTACTCTGCTTGTACTTACATTTAATATGGGAAGTTCCAAAGATTTTCATGACATACCTACTCAATAAGCACTTTTGTAGGTTTATCATCGAATCATCGAATGAATTCTCTCGCCTGGGTGAGGCGGAAGTGAGTGTCAGACTCTTACTGACTAAAAACGACTCCGTTCCTACTCCTGCACTTCGACCCGATGTAATTGTAGGTGTACCGACTAAACTTTATCTACAAAAAGTCCCGCATTGGACTTTCAGAAAGTTGGTCGCCTTACTCAAATACAGTGTTAGAATTGCAATATCATACATAGTCCCTTTTCTGGGGTAGTAAAGTTTGTTTTTCTAGTTCATCATCTTGTTAATGGAGTATAATTATTTATTAATCAAAATAATCATGCTACTATCCTAACAGTTCTTGCGATTTTTATCGTAATTAGAGCAAGTCTTTTAGGTATAACCTACTTACCACTTTCAATTGCAATTGCGAGCTACCTAGTTACCTAAATCTGGATTCAAAACCGAAGCTACATAGTCAGTAATGTCACTTGGCAACAACTCGGAGTAGGTCGTAGGTATGAACTCATTAAATTAATTTACACGTCTAATGCCGTATCGCATTAGTTTTCTTCCTCAGTCTACAGAAAAAAATATTAGCAATCAAGGTTCAAAAAATGTACGGAATATTTCCCAACGCTACGCGTTATTTAGATTTTTTATTAGCAGTAGCATTAGTCACGATTGTAAGCCTACGATCGTAAGGAAGTGTCAAAAAATATAGCTCAAATAAATATCGAGAAAAAACGTAACACGTAACACTAAAAATTGGCGGGAAGCAATGGCGGGAAGTCGCGCAATAAAAAGGTCGTTGACCGACAATAATTAGAGTTTAGGCTATGTAAATTATGTTCGGATACGTTCCACAAAGATACCTAAAGTCTATTTGTTTAGTCGAAATATGGTTCAATGGACAGAAACGCAGAAACGTATAGGTTTCACGATAAAATTTGTGCAAATATTGCACATTGTATGGTAATTATAAGCTGAAATATTCGCGTAGGTAGTGATAATAAAATGTGATGTTAATAAAATGTATAGCAGCGAGGCATTTAAACCTATCTGAGTTATTTTCTAGCCATAAATATAATGACATTTAAATCGAAATAGAACAGTACTCACGCATTATTGAACTGGTCTTTCAACGGAGATCCTTGTTGGACAGCAATGGCATAAGGTTTCCTGGAGAATTCGTCTCCAACCGACTGAAGATCACAGCTGGTCATCACATGGTACTTCACATCAGTAGCGTCACCCAACCAGGCGAACCCTTCACTGGAACTCTTGGAATCCCTGACCCTCTGTATAGCTTCCTCAATAGTGTTAGGTAAAACAGCTTCTTCCATTGCCTGCCACATTTTACTGTATTTGTCACTTACTGGATAATCCCATACGGCAAGTTTTGCGCGTTCCACCTCCTTTAGACTGTCGTTTAGGCTCATCTCCTTCCATATTCTGGAATTTATAATCTTTATTTAAAACACTGGCCACTCGCGCCTTGATCAAAGCTGTCAATGGAGTATAAAATAAATGGCGTTCTAAATTTCAAATTGAAAAACGCGGTAAAATATTTGGTCGCACCAGAATTGGTGTTTGTTTATTAGCTTGGCACTTACTAAACTATAGACGAATAGTTTCGATAGTTTCGAAAATAACTGTTCGCGTGTGCACTGTACACCGTTTGAAGTCACATGCAATAATGACGTTTTTAATTACGACGACAAAGTGCATAGTTACCAACACGATGTACTATGACTCATACCAGATATTGACTGAACTTCAATAATTTTAGATACACATAATACTCAGTAAGTACTTATATGTTACACAACAGCGACTATTGTATGATAAAAGACTACATGACGCCGATTCGCAGGAGAAGGAACGGGGTGGTTTTTAGTCAGTAAGAGTCTGACACTCCCTTCCGCCTCACCCAGGCGGGAGCAGTCATTCGATGATTTTCCCCCTTAAAAAAAAAAGACTACATGACTGCATTAAACCAGAATATAAGATATTAAGACATAAAATGCACAATGGCCTTTTAATGGCCGACATAAATTAACTCATTATTCTTCTTAAACGCGGTAAAGATGTTTTGCATAACTAATAAAGGAATAATCCTCTCCTTAAAACGTTCAAGGTTATTGAAAAAACTCTGAACATTTCGCTTAAAAAAGCAGATAATGTTTGACGTAATGGCAACACTATTTGTGAGCATTTATTTGCATTCTATTTCGTATTTTTATTTATTTCAATTAGGTATTTACACATGGCAAAAAAAACTAACGCTTCTTTATGGCATAGGAGGCAAACAAGCAGATGGATAACCTGTTGGTAAGCAACCAACATCGCCAATGGAGACCCGTAACACCAGATCAGTGCTGTTAAAATTGTTACAAGTGCTTTACCGGACTAGTGAAAATAGATATACTATTTTTTTGGTTTAAATTCGAGAGTTTAATGTGTTCATGCATCACAAATCTGAAACAAGTTCAAATATAGACATCTATCCGAAAACATCCCGTTAAATGTTTTCCATCGCCCAAAGCTAGATCAAATAATAAATATGATAAATCACTATGACCGAAGTAAATGACGATCTGTTTACTCATTTATTAATAAACCACGCCATTTTTCTTACTCTAATAGCCAGAACCTAGATTACCGTGGTTGTTATTTGTCTATCTGTAGCTAAATAGCAGTTTTTCTACACAAATACGAGGCATAAAGGAGGAACCAATGTTAAAATTGTAAGCCTTTTAAAAAATACGAGCAGCGCATGTGGGAAATTCGAAAAGTCAAGAACAGAATTTAGGTTATTGATAAAAATGCCGATGTTTGCTGACGACGCCAATAGAATTACATAGACGAGAAAAACGCCCATAAGGAAGACCCCAGATGTGTTGGTACGATGACATCAAACGAACAGCTGGCACGAAATGGATAGAAATTGCTCAAGACCGAAAGAGATGGCAGACACTGAAGAAGGCCTACACCCTAAGGGTAGAAAAAGGCAAAAGAAGAAGAAGAAAGACGAAAAAAATCTCCAAAAGAACAATTTAACAAATGTTTATTCTGAACTTCCAGCAGATAATCTGTATAGAGTCTCCTGAGAACAAAATCGCCTACAATTTCCTTACAACTATAAAAAATAATAATAATAAAACATTAAGTAGGTCTGCTCCAATAAGGATGGTGTAGGAAGATACACACATACATATAACTACATTCATCAGTTAGAATAATAGAATGAGCATTCGCTTATCTAGCCAACCCAAGAACGACGCAAGTGGGTCACTAGTACCACATACCTACATGTGCGATAAACTATGCTATCACTAGCATTGGTCTATCGTAATCATTATATATTACATGTTACGTCATTCTACATAGCAACATAGATGTTTTGTTATCTAGTCTAGTTATGTTAATGCTAGATATTGTTTTCTTCTCTTGCAGGACATTTTTTGACTATTTTATTTATTTAGGATCACCAAAAAAGATACATAACTAAAAATACAAAACTAAAAACGAGGATTGCAAAGGGGTTGTGTGAACTGGTGAGGGTGATATAAGTTTTCTGATATCTGAAGACCTTGTAAATGATTCCCTTTCATTCACATAGAGTACCTATATTTAATTAGATAAGGTACGATGGGGTTGACGTATAAAAGCCCACTGAAAACAATAAAGGAGAATAAAAAAAAAATTTTCAAGACCATGTATCTTCACCACAGATTATATTATAAATTTCGTGAGGCATACTAAATTAATTATTATGTTTTCGCAACCGTTTGACGAGGAACTCGACTAGTGTGTCGCGGAATACTGCTCATGAATATGAACCTCTAGCATGGCTTGAAACTAGTCGGTCTATACGTACCGGTTGTTTCTTTGAAGTTATATTTATGGTAGAATCGTGTAATTAGGGTAGACACGTATTTTGGTGATTTATTAGGGTAGACACGTATTTTGTTGCTGAATTTAAAGTACCTAACCCACCCAGCATCCTACGGGTTCTTTTTCTCGATGAAATTCTTATACAAGCCATTTCTTAACATTTTGAATATTCGATTTGGTACAAATTGGGATAATGACATATTATTATGAAAAAATATTAAACATGTATTTTTAATTTTGTCGTATAAACGAATCAAAGTGTAGGAGTGGGGGCTAAAACGTCATTTCTACGTATAAAATGTACATAGAAGTGACGTCACGCGATATTTCAAATCAATATATCGTCGAAAGTATTCGTTTCTGTAAGAAGATATAAAATACGTCTAATGATATAAAATAATCTACCAGACGAATATTTATTAAAATAAAAATTAGTAATCTACCCTTTATGCACATATGTTACATACAATGTATTGCGAAAACAGGGTCCTAGGAAAGGATTTCCTTCTACAATCCATACTATGAATCTAATACCGACATAAACACTAGCATAGTAGCACAAATTCTTGCACATATTTCCAATCGATGTCCGTTTACCTACTGACCAGTCCATGACCAGTTCCTCTAACCCTGACCTGACTATCTTTTTTCGGTGTTAATCGCAGCGAGTGCCAGTTAACCTTCGTGACATCGAGTGCAATCAGATATCAAGATTAAACACATTAATCACTACTTGCCAATGCTTGCATAATCTGTGCATTCAGAGATTTGTAAACGTCAAACCGGTGTTCTAAATTCAAATGTGACAGTTCTTCTCTGAACAGGAATTTAAAGAGGTCGGCATCTAAGGAGGATTAGAATTTATTAGTCCTTGTTTAAAAAGTTCTGTATTATTTAGGTTGAATATTAGACTAACTTAGTCTATATGGGTTTTGGATTTTTATTTTGATTTAAACATAACATAACGTGCATTTAGTATGTATTTCGCGTCTTAATATAATATATTTTTTTACTAAGTATTAAAAGAAATTGCACCAACAAATTTCCCCATAATCCTAACCAAACGATCAATCATTCTGGAGTTTGCTCATCGCATTCTCTTTTGTTTGGAAAGTGTAAAAACACATTTTGACTTGACCGATTATTAAATGGTAAACATGCACAACAACCCAACGCATAATTTAGGAAATTTATCTTGATAATTACTACTTAGAGAGGAAAAAGTGTGGGAGAGCCATGCTTCGGCCGTGCCATGAATAGGCCGGCTCGACCGGAGTGAAACCACGACCTCACAAAAAACGGACATGAAACTACGCTTGCGTTGTGTTTCGTCGTGTGAGTGAGGTTATCGGAGGCCCAATTACCTCCTGCCCCAGTCTTCCCAATCCCCGAATCCTCCACAATCCTCAAATTCTCGGTGTATCAGGTGTCCATAGGCGGCATACAGTTATTTAAAAGAATTCGTATATTTGAGGCGTGTCGCCATTTAATATACCTAATTATCACATTAAACATGCTTGTATCACGAGTATGCAAATTTTTACGACAAAGTTCAATGACACGAACCCCTACGTAATTTGATCGGAGATTTGAGGATCCGAAAACAAATGATAAGTAATATAAAGATGCCCCTTATCGCGGAGTTCATGTCAAAAGAAAGTAGGGTTGCCATTGCCAACCATACCTTATAATAATGTATTCTACTTTATTTTTGATAATCATACTATCTACTTTTACTTACAAATAAAGTATGTGAAAATACTTTATGTGAAATTTCCAACCTTTATTGTAATGCGTAGATTAACACAGTACTAATTATTTAACGGTGTTTATTTATAAGTTAAAAAAAGATTATGGTAAACGACTTATATATAATTGCTGAACCAAATGTTAGTGACCAGTCAGTCAATAATTATCACAGATGTCGCTGTCGACGAAATTGGGGGAAACGTGTCCGTCGTTTTTGTACAGCTAATTAAAGAAACTAGATAGTCTATAAAAGTAAAAATTAATGCTTAAAAATAACGAGTTATTTCGAAATTGAAAAAAAAATGCAAATAAGTACTTTATTTTTCCTATTCAAATGTAATTTATACGTCTTCTTTTGTCAAAAAACGTTGACAACCCTAAATGAAAGTGCTGGCGCCGTTTGACCGATAAGAATTGATAACGTTTGCTGTTACCTACATACAGTTTGTGTACAACTCCGCTTTGTAGAGGTAAATTAATGATTGGAGGTGTAATGTTTTAGGAAATGCTGCAAAAAATGGCTACATAGCTACAAGAAGTGCTTCGGCACGAATGGACCGGCTCGAATGGAGTGATACCACAGCCTCACAGAAAACCGACGTGAAACAACGCTTGCGTTTTGTTTCATCGTGTGAGTGACTACTCCTACTCGTTTACCCGCTTTTTCATAAAAAAATTAGGGTTATTTTTCTATGTTTAGTCAATTCTAGCTTTTCATAAGCCTAATTGTGGCTTACGTAATTGCTCTTTTTACACCTCACTAGCGACCCGCCCCGGCTTCGCACGGGTGCAATTAGAAACCTCTAAGTTTATCAGTGTTTCTCTTCTATATTATGCATGTACATATTATATATATAAACCTTGCTGAAGTATCACGCTATCTATTAAAAAAACCGCATCAAAATCCGTTGCGTAGTTTTAAAGATCTAAGCATACGTAGGGACAGAAAGATGGCGGATAGCGACTTTGTTTTATACTATGTAGTGACTACTTGATCCGGCAAACTTTGTACCGCCTAAAAATGTTTTCTCACCTTTTAAACTTTTCTTGGACTTCCACGAACATTTCAAGACCAAAATTAGCCAAATCGGTTCAGTCGTTCTCGAGTTTTAGCGAGACTTACGAACGGAAATTAATTTTTATTTATATATATAAGTAGATGTGGAAAATTATACGTGGGTAACTCTTACCAAGGCATTTTAAAGATTTACCTAATTTTTTTTCTCAATTATATTCATTCATATCTTTATTTGCATTCCATAATGTTTCTTAAGATGTTACATTGGCTTAAAGCTAGGACACAATTATGGACCCTGTCAGGCACAGCAAAATACAAAGATTAAATTTCAGAATAATTAAAATTAACCCCGGTTTTGCTAATTTTGTATCTACCTGTCCGAAAAAAAAATTATTTGGTTTTTAGCCATTGCCGAGTTTTCCACTCTGCATGACAATTTTCCAATTCATTTTTACTTATTAAAATTTTCATTCGAATTGAATAACTTCACAAAATCTAATAATTTCTTCTACAAATCTTTCATTTTCCTTCATGAAAAACTTGTTCAAATAGTGTTGCATTGAATTATGAATCATTGAAGACCTAGTGCCCCCATTCTTTGGCCACGCTAGGTAACCTAAAATGTAATTCGGGCACTAGGTTACCTAAACCTATAGGCTTGAAAATGTCATAAGATAACAAATTGAATTTTTATCGTATGTACGTAACACTGATTCTTTTAAAACTTAATTAAACATTGACGATTTATTTAGACCAATTTCATAGTAATGAAGAAATGATTATTTAGAAATAGGAACCTGATTTTAACTGTGGTAATGTCTAGCTGTAACTGTCCAGCGACAGCAAACGGGACTATGAAACAGGAGGAATTGTGTTCGATCCCATTCGTTACCGAATCATACAATGAAGGTTTTATTTAAATGGGAAATACATACACTAACATTTTTTTATACTACGAGACGGTGGGTCAATTGGCACATGTACAGTCCACCTTATTATAAGTCCTTACCGTTGCCTATGAACGCTTACACCACTTGGGGCTTTAGACATACATAAATTCACGCCTGTCTCCCATGGGGGGTAGGCAGAGACTAGGGAAGGCCAATTACTACGATTCCTACGTATCTCTTTCGCTTCATCAACAGTCAGCAATCTTTTCATGCATGCTCGTCGGTTAAGGGTACTTTTAATTTGGCCCTTCTTTAATATATCGCCAATCTGGTCACTATATGTCCGTCTAGGGCGCCCTCTACCGACGGCCCCATTCATATCCGCTCTGTATATTTCTTTCGTTACTCTACTTTCATCCATCCTTTCTACGTGTCCAAACCAGCGTAACATTCCCTTTTCAATCCTTGTCACTACATAATCTTTCAATCCACACTTTTCTCTCATAACACTATTTTGCACTCGATCACTCAATTTTAGTCTACACATACTTCTCAGGGCTCTCATTTCCACCGCATTAATCCTGCTTTCACGCCTATGATTCACTACCATACATAAGCCTTAGTGTCAATACACACTGCATTACAGCAAGTCGAGTTCGAGTCGGGTCAGAAGTAAGATTAAGTATTTAAAAATCCTAGATTAGATTAGAAAAGTTTTATTATATCTATCTTATACTTATCTCTACCTACTAAATCAAAGTAGGACTAATATACTTTATTGCACAATTTAAAAGATTTTTGTTGTAGGTAATATTCTAATGTTGATAAGCCATTCTAATCATGATAATCATCGCGTTGCGTTGTTATCAAATCTGTTCCTATCTATCTAGTTATTATAGTAAGTTTTAATGTTGATACACTGGATATCTACGCGGTTATCTACACAGGACCATACGCTCTACAAAAGTTTATACGATTTTGTTGCAAGTTGCACGCACTTTACGGTTACCGACTACAATTTTCTTTAAAGGCGGAATCATAATCAGAAAAGTATTGGTAGAAGTTTGCATAGTTTAATGATACATGTTTCAGCATAATTTAAAATGTCGTGTACCTTTTTCCGAGTTGTATATACTTTCTAAGATTATCTAGACACCACTGACAAACGGTGAAGGAAAACATCGTGAGGAAACTTAGCCTTACTATATAATTTCTAATTATAAATTTGAATGCCAACCCACAATGAGCAAGCGTGGTGATTAATGCCCAAACCTTGTCCGTGGTAAAAGAGGCCTTTGGTCAGCAGTGGTCACTTATAGGCTGTTGATGATGATGAAGATAATAATTATATTTGTTTCCGTTTAAACTGTTTTATAGATTTACTTAATCACTGACAAAGTGACAATACATTTATCCATTGGCTACACTAATCATTAACCATTAGGTTTGTGTAGTTCGCGAACGAACTAGTTCGAAAGAGCGCTCCCACATTCAAAATAAGAATGACGTGAACTAGTTCACGTCATTCCCAACTCCTTAGTTCCTTAGTTCGTATTTCAAAGTACAAGTACAAGGATTGTGAAGTCGTTTATGTGTATAATCTATGGTGAAGACCGAACTAAAAAATGCGATAACATAATATGATCACATTTAAAAAGTCATTATCTACTAGTAAGTGGTAGGTATTAAATTAATAAGCATAAACTTGCATCAAAACTAGGGAGCGATTTGGCTGCCAGTGCCTTCCTAGTTCCTATGCGATTCATTCCAATTCCAAATCCAACTGGGAGTCGGGAGCTGACGAACTAGGGAGCGATTTGGCTGCCAGTGCCTTCCTAGTTCCTATGCGATTCATTCCAATTCCAACTCCAACTGGGAGTCGGGAGCTGACGAACTAAAAGAGCGAACTAGTTCGTTTAGGAGCGGCGGACTGATCTGAGTGATCTTAGTCGCGAACTATTAAGCACAAGACTAATAACCATCAATGGATGCTTGTTCTCGTTTGCCCCTACGCCATACAAAAAAAGCTGCTCACCAACATACATTTTAGGTACATTTTCGAAAAACCCTCAGGTTTCTAGCTCTCTATTATCACTCCTAGAAACAGAACAATGAAAATATCTTACTGCAACAAGTAAAATTGGTACTTACTCATAAAACTTCTCCTCGATATTAGCCATCCTTTGGAAGTAAGTCATAGCTGCGGATCCATTGAGCGGTGCGTACTGTATCTTGTATTGTTTGGACAGGTCGTCCAGGGACTCTATAGGCGTGTCCAATCTGGACACCGTCAGAAACGCTGCCAAGTTCGCCGTGTATGATGCTATTATAATAAAACTGTGGGGAATAACACGGTAAAATTGGTTTTAGGTGCTTGTAATAAGAAGCAGAATTGGATGTAGAAGTTTTGTGACTTGTTCCCAGAACATGAAATTTCTTTCTCTTCTGCTTGCTTTAAAAGACATCGAAGAGTTGAAGGAGTTTCGTGAAATTAAATCTAATTTGTTTGAGGTTAAGGTTTATTACCCTTTATATTCTACTAGCTTCTGCCCGCCCCTTCGTACGCGTAATCCCGTTTTCTCCCGTTCCCGTAGGATTTTGAGGATTTTTTTTTCTGTAATAAAAACCTTGTCCTGACAATAACAAACACAACAAAAAAATCAGCCAAAACGGTCTAACTGTTCTCAAGTTATTGCGTGACAACGGGAAACGGGTTTCATTAGATTAATTCAATTCAAAATAATTTAGTAAAGTGATTCTCTTACCCAAAAAGCCACCAAGTAGCAGCCAGCAATCGTCCAGACAGATTCTTAGGCGCCTCACCTCCTCCTTGGGGAGTTAGTGACGTCATACAAAACCATAGACACTCCTTCAGTGTAAATTCTCTTTTCTCCTCATCCTCTTTGTACTTTTCTCTGTTATTCTGATAGCTATACGGACTCCATTTGTCAAAAACCCACATTAGAAAACTGTAAGTAAAATGTTTTGGTTTAAAATTACTTTTACATTATTACATTGGCCACAGAAAGCTATAAGAAGAGGTGAGTGAAAGGAGGGTAGGGAGGCCTTAGCCCTGCAGTGGGACCACTATGGCTAACAATAAAATAAATAAATAAGTTATATCATTATGATATGAGCTTATGGCACCGACTTCTAACCTAACAGTGGGTGGGTAACCTATCAGTACTAATAATAGTTATTTTTTGCTTTTTAGTATTGACTTTTTGTTTGTTATTAGTTTTTGGTTTTTGAAGTCGGTTTTTTAAACGCAGTTTTTATTTTATTATTTTACCATTTTCAGTGTAAAGCTACATATACCCGTTTTGTTACTTATAATATACATAGGTGCAAAGTCCTCATCAATACAAATTAATCAAGCCCAAACTCAAGGTAGTTACTGTATACCGTTGAGGAGTTCCCTTAACAATTACACTTCTTCATCATCAGACCCTTAATGACAGCCCCACTCTATCTAGGTATAAAGTCCTCATCAATACAAATTAATCAAGCCCAAACACAAGGTAGTTAATATAAACCGCTGAGGAGTTCCCTCGACTGTCTGTCGACTCCATCATCAGGTCGACTTCAGACCCTTATCAAATTGTAGTGTTTAAAATTCGTAATTGAAAAACATAATAGACGCATTACTCCCCTATAGAATTTTCGAAAGTTCCCCTCGGTTTCCCTAGGATCCCATCATCAGATCCTGACTTCATGGAAATGGGACCATCTCGGGAGTATACCCTTTCAAACAAAACAAAAATTTTCGAAATCGGTCCACAAACGGCGGAGTACTGCGCGAACAAACAAAAAAAAAAAAAACAAACAATCAGCCGAACATAGTACCTCCTCCTTTTTTTGAAGTCGGTAATAATATTAGTCAAGAATTGATGGTTCCAAAGCATACTAAAAAACCTTAGATAAAACCTTTTCTGACTGTTAAAGACCATCTTTATACAATTTCATCTCTATTAAACTGTCAAACACCAAGCGGTCACCGGTGACCGCAACCTATTGTTCTTTAATTGTGTCTATAAATACGGTACTCGACGAGTTAAACTGTCAAACACCAAGCGGTCACCGGTGACCGCGACCTATTGTTCTTTAATTGTGTCTATAAAACCGGTACTCGACGTACTCGACGAGTTAAACAAGTAGTTTCGGCGTAATAGCGTAATAAACAAACCAATTTGTTTTCCCATTAACGATATCCTTACTTCCTTACTAATCCTTATCCTTACTTATATTATAAATCGGAAAGTGAGTTTGTTTGTTTGTTTGTTTGTTCCGCTTTCACGCCGTAACTACTAAACCGATTGCTTTGAATTTTTGCAAACGTAAAGTTAGAAGTCCGGATTAAATAATAGAGTAGGTACTTTTTATCCCGTAGAAATTTGATATTCCCGAGGGAAAACAAAAGTATTGGTATAGATGGCGCTGTATGTATTGTTATATGTCACATAGGCTACTTTTTATCCTTTTGTGACGCGAGCGAAGCCGCGGGTAAAAGCTACTTAATAATAAACACTTGTAAAAATGGATGTTCAAATCTATAAAGGTACTTCTAAGAATCGCTTTAACACAATAAGCTATAAGATTCAAATCCCATCGGTTTTAAACAAATAAATTGCTACTATTGCCAGTGTTCCTAGCCTAAACAAACGTGACCTTATATAATATAACATTTCCCGTTAGCTAACCTATATTTACGTAAGTATGTATATTTATACGTACTTGAGTCAGAATCAAGATATGTATATTACATCAAGTTTTCGCTCACGGGTTCGTTCGCGCAGATTTTAGGAGATTTCTGTCCAATTCGATGTAGACATAGTATATGAGACACAATTATGGTTTTTAGCCTGTAAGAGTCTAACAGTTTCCTTATTTTTCCCTAGGCAATAGCGTAGATGACTTCAAAAAAAGGAGGAGGTTCTCAATTGTAATTTTTTATCCGTCTGGTAGATTATTTAAAAACATTACACACGTATTTCTTATTTTCTTACGGAAACGAATAGTTTGAAAGATATATTGATTTGAAATATCGCATGACGTCACTTTTGAGTACGATTTATAGGTACTCTAAAATGACGTAGCTACCTCCCACTCCTAAGCTTTGATTCGTTTTATCTAAGTATTGTGCTCTTATACAACAAAATAAAAAATACGTGTCTAATATATTTTCATTACCTAACTGACGGACCAATTAGACTTTTTATTTTCATACCCTGTCATCATCCCTATTAGGGGGTTTCATAAGGAGTTTCCACCTTAGGTTCAAAATTAATCCCGATTCTGTAGATACATAATAATTATCGGTATGAAAATCTGAAAAGTAACCATTCCAATGGTTAAAGAATCTTTGAAATAGGTTCGGTAGTTTCATAACCTCTTTAGTGCAAACAAATAACCATAAATAATAATTATGCTTCCTTTTTTAAAAATTGATTTAGTGCAACACGTTAGAGGTCGTCCATTTTGCTATTTTGTACGCTAGTGTGCGGTTTTCGATCTTGTAAAGTTTATATAAAATCCGTATGAAATATAAATAACTAGGAATTAGGTCGATTTTTCCTCATTTGTTTATGTCATGTTACTTAATAGTTCATTAGGTGGCCTACTCTACTCGTAATGTATTTCGTTTATGAGTGTTGACAATGTAAAATAGGATGAATATTAATTCATCCTATTTTACATTAAAAATATGGGCCAAATGATTACATTTGGCCCATATTTTTTTTTCTATGTTTGTAAAAATATCAAAATCCATAGAAAAGACCAATAAAACTTAGTTTGACCTTGGATGACGTGCAATCACAGTTTTTTAAAACTTCAAATATACTTAAATATAGTAACTCCGCATATGTATTAGCTTCATCTCTTTCTAAAGAGATCTTTAGTACTTAGGTATCTATTCAATCTTTACATTATATTTCCGTAATCTTTGTTTTTTATTTCGTCTGCTGCATCCATTTGTTCATTGTAGTTACAATTTTGTATTTTTTCTGTATAATTTGAGAATATTCATATTTTTAACATCACAATAACGTCTGCTTCATTATGTGCAAAAACATACAAATTGTTTCAGCGATATCTTACGTATATACCTACCTACTAAAATACAAGAGTTTCATAACCAAACCTATTTTGATTTCTAAACGTAGTAAGTTAAAGCTGAAAATCGTGTAACGGAAAATGGGGAAGTACTTGTTGCTATGCGCACTTACTTTAGTAATTCCAATGAAACTGTGACTAATTTTTCGGCGCATACAGGCCAGTAAAAAAAAGAACAACGCGCTTCGAAATTCAATTATATTTGGAGTTTTTTTAAATAGTTTCACTAGTATTTAACATAAGAGGCCCAAATAAGATTTATTTTTTCTAAAACGTTTAGTTTAACCTAAAAAGCGTAAATAAGTTTTAAGTCTTGGGACCGTACTAAACTAAAATTATTTATATAGTTGTTATTTTGTGTAAGTAATCATAATATTTTGCCATAATATTTATCTGATTACCTATCAATTAATACCGTTATCAGCAATTACTAAAAATATTTTTACTAAGCCTATCTAATGAATATGTTCGTGTGAAAACCCAGTAACATCGTCATTTCCTATGCTGGTAATAAAGTTCTACCTACGTACTTATCCTAGCATCCAAATCTTAAACTAAAATAATAATGAGTCGTATTAGGACGAATGTTCTAAAACTCTACACAAATTCTTACAAGAGCGAAGGTCTAATTAATAAGGATTCCCTTGGCACGTGCAATAACTAAGTTCATAAATAAATAAATGGTAACATCGGCGTACATGAGGCATTAGGTCCATCGTTTGACCTCGTTCCATAAAATCAGATAAGAAATAATGGAAGCAGGTGGGCACTGGCCCATCGATCGCGTTATGTATCGTAATAAATGTCAAAATGTCACGGATGAACACCCATTTTCAGATTACGAACGCTACAGTGCTTTATAAACGCTACATTAAAATACTTGTTTTCGAACTAAAACCGTCTCTCTCTTTCAAGCAAAAACAGACAAGGATAAAAATAAGGTCACCTGTGAAGAATTCGGAAATTGTAAGATATTGTGGAGCAAAGTTGTGAGCTGTCCTTACGGAACAGGTTTCTGCAGCGTTATAGCTAACTGAATGATGTCATTGGATTACCTGGTAAAGAAATACGCAGCCAGTATCGATAGCCAGACGTCATTCTCCAGAACAGTTAGGAATTTAAATAGGGATGTCGGAGTTCTCGGCAGTTTCATCATTATGGTTATCCCGACTAGATCGTAGTATGGCACGGTGAAATCTACAACATTTTCCCTTTCAGCCATGACAGACAGCGACGACAGCCCTATATCTGCTTTCTTATCAACGAGCTCTTTGATAATTCCGTTCCAGTTTCCATTTTCGTCCATTGTACCGAAGTTGCCGTCTGGCGCTAAACTTATTTCATAATCGAATTTAACGATAGCTCGAATCTCTTCGATGAGGTCGATACAGTAACCTTTAAACCCTTTGGGCGCTTGGTCGTCCCTTATGATAAACGGCTTTTGCTAAAAAAATAAGATGGCTCTCTAAAACACCGCTAAAAATTGTCCGTTTCTTATCAAAATTCCAGACGAACGAAAGATGAGAATGACAGTGTTGTTTGAACAGTTTGTTGTTAAGTAAACTAACAAATTTTTATCAAGTTGCCAACAGAATTTTAAACAATAGCAGAGTTCATTTACCCACCTCGACAGTGACGATTCTGTACACTAGCTGCGCCGAGTAATTACTCATGTTATTGGGGTCAGTCAAGGTTAGGTTCGAAGAGAGGCCAGCTTTCCAGGAACCCAACGAATGGCTACTTATAGACGCCCCGTCTTTGACCGTGATAGCGAGCAGATCAGTGCTAAACTCCATGTAACTTCTGCCATTCATGGGGTCATCTTGCGGAATATAAAACGGAGCATACGTAGGCGTCTCTTTTATCTGGAAAAATCAGTAACCGGTAACCGGCAGTTACGGTTTGGGTGATTATATCTAACGCTGTGGTAGGTACTGCCTAAATGTGTCAACGCACCTCTTGAAATGCCGTTTTAAGATCCAAGGTCCTGTTTGGTGTATTCTTGCCGTCGTAGTCGTCGCATGTAATATATTTCATGTCGTTTGGCCACTTGCCAGAGTCCAGTAGTGATCTGGAAATTCATAAACGTGAACTCTCATGGAATAAGCCAGGATATATTTAGACAAACCACATTGCACGTGGTGTACTAAACTAGAACTGGTACACTAGAACATGAATAGTAAAGGTCATTACTTGATCGTTAAAAACGTTCTCAAAGACAGGTCGAAGTAGAAGGCGGATGTGATTTCTGGCTCGCCGTTCATGCTGTACGTCGTTTTAATCTTTCCCAATCGGTCCCTGCTGTTCGCATCTGGCGTCGGCCGTATGTGTACGATGGTTGCATTTTTACACCCACAGCTAATATCGCCCTTCTCCAACGATAACGCAAACCATGCTGTTTTTCTACCAAAGTATTGGTTTTTATCGGCAGCATCTAAAACATTCTTTATAGTTCTCAAACTCCCAACTATAAAAAAGTTCACTATATCTAGATTCCGAAGACTTTCAAGTTGAGTTTTAATTTCGTTTGCCTCAAAACTCTTCACAGGCGTGATCACGTGTCGTGTCGGTATGTTTTGTAGCAGAGATTTGTATTTGTGGTCCATAACTGTAAACAAACAGATTTAATTATCAAGAACAGTTAACATGACTTGGTAACTAACAATAAATTTCATTAACGGGTAAAGTTATGCGGGCGCTATCTAAACGGTTACAAACTGGGACCTTGAAAGCCTTGGCATAAACACTATATTTGCTCGAATTTCACGCTTGGCTTCGGAAACATGTCATTATTGATTGATGCGATAAAACTGAACGTTTATAAATTATTTTGCTTCAAACTTACCAAAGAATTCATCGAAAATAATAGCAGCGTTTGTGATATCTTGTTTAGTGACAATAGCTCTAATGGCTTCTGGTAGGATATCGGCTGGAGGCATCACTTGCAAAAGAAATCTTGTTTGATTTGCATTCAGGGAGCGCCATTGCCGCAGATCCCCAACTTGGCCAAAAGACCCTGATATAGTTGGCAAGCTCAAAGCTTCTGTAAACGATTTAATCGTTTCGGAACCCACTCCAGTCATTGTGAAGTCGAGTACTACATGAGGAGTCTTTTTCGCTGAGAGCATATCGTTGTATTTTCTGCAAACTATAAACAAGTACCAAAATGGTGATTATGATGTCTATTGTTTTAGATAAGTAGGTACTAAGGCTTACACTTACACAGAAATTCTACCTAAAATCTAAATAATTACAAAAATATTCTCACCATTTTCCAAGAAAACCTTGGCATCGGTTCTATTTCCCACCACAATCACAGGGTCCACAGCAAGACCCAAGCTAGGGTTCCGTCTCACATATTCCTTCGCAACTTCAAAAGCTTTCTCGGCTAAAGCATTGCTCTCTTCGTTAATCAGTACTGTGAATGTAACCATGAAAATTATTTGTTTATGAACGAGATCTGTTTAAAAATAATCTTCAAACAATTTACGAGGTTTACTTATCGCAATCGGTTACTGTCTAGAACTTATTTCTGAACCAATTTCGTACAGTGAATCATGCCGCAAAAGTTAAATTAAAAAAGTAGATACAGTTTGGTAGCTAAAAACGACACGACGAAAACTATTGAAACGCCTGTGCAAATAAAATTGGTGGCTCGGAAGATTAACACGTTACTTACAAACATTAATATTTTGCGTGGTTTGTCCAAATGTGATGCGAATGAAATAGAAAAGAAGAAAAACAGTAAGAGTAGACATGATTCCTATCACTATATTTTATCGGACATCGTCACACCCCCCACCCTATGACCCAGTGACTGATCGCCTAGCTATCTGACCGACGACTGAGGGTGTAAACCTACTTCCTCTGTCTGTGTACTGTATAGTTTCCACGGCAATACTCGACCTTGAATCGGCTCGTCCTATCGATGTATTGGTCATCACTAATAAAACATGTTTGTCCAAGAACATAAACAACATACTTAGTTTCATAAGTAGATAGCCTAGGCCTAGGTAGGTAGGTACTACATTATTACAATTGTTTAGGTAGGTATTTCATGTAACGTAGGTAGCCTAGTTGTATATTTTTTGTCTAGGGCCTAGACTAGAAGATACAATTACTATTATATCAAACCTACATTACGTCCAATTGCGTCATAGTAACGAATGCAACAGGGCCTTTTTAATTACATCCTTGGTAGTGCGCGATGGCTATAAATACTAATAAGATGGGAAATAAATACCTCACTATTGCAACACTGCGTTTCGAAAAACTAATTATAAATCATTATGAAATTCAAACTTCATGTAGGTACCTAACTGTGTAGAAAGAAACTGGGTTTGAAGCTATTAGTAGGTAGGTAATTCAGTTGATTTCAATGTCTTGAGTTTGAGAGTCAGTGTAATCATACTTGCTCTAACAAGATAACTACATAATCATGCGCGTAAAATTACCATTCTGTTTGGTATGACTTTATCTCTACGTAGGTACATAATGTGGTGAAAACAAAAACAATATTTCGATTGGACTATTTTATTGCCAGAAATGTTTTACAAACACTAACTCCACAGTTGAGAGAAGTAAAGTGTAAACTGTACACACTACTTTAAAATCTAATACTAAATGTACTTTGAATCAAGATGTTTATTAAATTTATTTTAAGTTATAATCTGAAAGAGTTAGTCACAACTTTAATACAATATTATATCAGCAAGAACACAATGTTACTTACTCGACAATATGAAGATTCGTTTCCACAAGGGTTATCTTACATTCGAGGTCTGTTACTATCACAATTATAAGAAAATAAATTAGAAAAACAGGATATAAGAAAAATAAAGTTGTCCATAGAAATTACAAACAAAAAAAATAGCACACAAAAGTTAAGTCAATATGAACTATCACCTTATTTGTCAACTTTGAACTTTAATTAAATTCCAAATTCTTAAAATTAGTGTTACAATGTGAACAATTATTTTAAATAACTGGTCTTCCCAGCGCACCGGTTGGAATTTCAAGCGTAAAATAAACACTGTTACAAGTCAAATGTGCATAATTAAAACGCAAACTCCGTCCGACTCGCGAAGAAGTTAACTTCGTTCACAGTGCAAACCGTAACCAAAATGTCAAAGGAATGTTCAAATGGTTAAGTAATAATGCCTATGAAATACAAAAAATGTGCGTTATTTACCTGCTAACTTAAATTTACAACTGAATTAATTATCTAAACTTTAATTAATCTTATTTTTATCTAAAATCCTTGTTTTTCGGAAGCTGTTTTATAAAACGCGTCGTTCACAGAACGGATTGTGAATTGATTTCACACTTTGTGAATTACTTTGGCAGTACATTACTGGCGTAATATGTAAACTGATACATGTTACTTTCATCAATTCAATAATCCACCGCTACTAGTCCGTTGAGATAGACACCAATACTCAAAAACAGCATACAACACCTAAACCGACTCGTGCAATGATGTTCAGTTCACTGCGATGCACACTCCAGTCGCCACTGACAGTAACATTAAATTTACAATTTACAGGTACTTCACAGGTAAGATTTAATACATAATGTATTATAAACCTAAACATAAGTGCGGTCACAAAAGAGCTCAACTCCTTATGGTACAAAGTTATTGATAAACAAATAGGTATGTGTATAGGAACTACTGAGACTCCCTAAGTGTCAGGGCAACTAAAAGTTTGTAGTTAACTACACACAACATAATACCTGTATGTGTGTTTGGGCAGTCTATTATATATTATCTATTGTCTGTAAATTTTGGCATGTTAGGAAGTCCAAGTAGTTTAGTAAGTTTGTATTGTAAAATATGTATAGTCCATCTGTTTAGGTAATTAACTAAAGGTAAACAAAGAAAACCACGTGACACAGAGATACTTAACCTACTATTACTTCAAATATTTCTCGTGTTTTAATTTTAACTAAATTCACTTTAAACTCGTTCATTTGTCATACACACATATACAACTACAAATGCCTAAATCGTACAAGAGCCTTGCCTATGGGTCTATTTCATTATCATGTTTAAATAGAAACTATTCTGAATCTGATGTACGGATTTCTTTCTTGTACGGATATGTGTCTTTGGGCCAAGTTTCTTCAATATATTTGAACACATTAATTACAAACGATGAATCACCTAAACTTGAATAACTTAATAACAAAAACAAAACAAAGAAACAAGATAAATTCAACAAAATAGGAACGCGAGCGCAAACGACGAGAGAGCTGTCAATGGCGCCTGATTAACCGACTAAACGTAATAGACGCTACTTTCATTGTCGCGCTACATCTTAGTTGTACTCTTTAATTTGACAACATTATTTTGCTTCGTTCTTAAAGAAAAGTTTTGGATACCTGGGATTTTAGGCTCTTTATGGTGTCTATTGCAATGAAATGTTATACTATTTAATAAATGTTATTAAATTAATATCCTCAAGCAGATATATATAATATTTACTAAGAAATAAGTGAAAAGGAACAGAAACATAACATTTAATAGAGAAAACTGTCGTAAAAAGGGAAACAATTTTATTTTCTTATGAAGTATTTTGAATCATGGAAATGTCAACTATAAAGAACTCTTTTTATGGTTTGTTTACAAATAGTTAACTACCTAAACAGACGGAGTATAGATATGTATTTGGGTTGAGTTGGGCCCTAATGAACATTGTTGCATTGCAGTAAACCAAGCGAGGTAGTTTGGTTAGAATTTTTAAGCGGCCGCCTCCTCAGCTTCTGCAGGGGGCGCCTCTTCTGCAACTTTCGCCTTCTTCTCAGGTGTGGTCTTCTCCACATCACCATTATCCGTGGAGATTGATTTCCTCTTCACTCCAGCTTCTTTCTTTTCTGTAAACCAATAACAAGTAATATTAGGAAAAGTAGGGACTTTTTATGTCTCCTGAGATGTAAATTTTAATAAATACTTGTAATTTATAAGGTTAATGAATTTTTGTTTCGTGGGACAGCTCACCTGTGGCATCACCGTTCTCAGTGGCGTCGTTGCTCTCTTCCGCGTCACCGTTCTCAGCAGGCGCGTCTTCGGGAGCTTCGCTGCCATTTTCTTCCTTGCCATTGCTTTCAGGTGCTTCTGCAACCTTTTTGGCGGGAGATTTCTTGACTGGTGAGTCTTTGGCCTCAGTTGAGGTCACCTCCTCGGGCGCGACGTCACTGAAAGCATCAAAATGTACGTATAAGTATGCAATTCATTAACTATAAAAAACAGTATAAGGGTGTCTTTTTTATTACTTAGTAAGCAAGTACCTAACAATCGTTTATAAGATTTTGTTCCAATATGATTTTGATTCTTTATCAAGAAAACTAAGTAATAGCGACTACGTTAACCGCCTTGAATGTCGTAAAATCTTCAATCTCAATACCTACGCATCGTGGCTAATGCGAAGTACGCGAGTCAGTAACGGAACATAACAATGCAACAGTTCCACACGCGGCCAATGCTCAGCGGTTAAGTGGGGCGGCATAAAAGGAAAAGTCTGCCGGAACAAAAACAAGTGGCTGTTGCGCAAGGCTGCATGTGGGAAAGTTGCAACATAGGAAACCGAACGTAACCGTGATCACCTTTGCTGAATGAATACGTTACTCGCTCCAGTGGGCTACACATCACGGCAACTCGTAAAGCGTTAAAAATAACTAATGACAACACGCGTCGCCCGCGATAACGTAACCGAACAACCTGAGTTGCAAAACTCGAGGTCTCGGCAAATTCAAACGAGCGCGCGCCCGGCGTCGCTTCGCGCCGGCACGCCGCGCACGCAGCGCCATCTTGGATAAAACAACCGGCCCCGCGCCCGCCACCCGGCGTGCTTTTAACTTTTCCACTTTATTATAATACGCCATAACAGGAAAAATCATTAAATATAAACGACACTCCGCATTCTCCCACACACAATGCGCTTAAAATTATCTCGGCGTAAGTTCAGAAATTCACAATAATCGTTTATCAGTAAAATAATATTTTCCCGCGTGTCTTTATCTTTGGCGGCGTTTACAAAATAAGCATCACCGAACTATCATTACGCACCCTAACTTTATTTGGTACTAGCACACAAATAAAATTAACTGAAACTAATGTTAAAACACTATAGAATCACTGTACTTTCACAGAAAACACGAATTTCACAAATAAATAGGAAGCCATTTTGATCACGTTTTCGAAGCCGCCAAAAATATTATACCGTTAAAGTAACTAAAACTGACTGAAATCAACAAAAAAACTTACTTTTTCTCGACTGCTGCGTCTGCCATTGTGTTAATTAGTTTTAGAAGATACTTTTAAATTATAAAGAAATAATTATAAGCACGTGTTACGCACAACGTACAACAATGTTCACCGCACAAACACCGACGACCAAATGAAGGAGGAAGAAGGAAAAAATATAATGCGCGACGCCTCGCGCGGGGAGTCGCATTCGTTGTGAAGCTAGCTGCGTTGACTTCAAGACGGTGAAACAACGTTATTTAATTTGGTCTAGTTAGAAAGAGATAGTCATATGTTTAAATTTCATCTTCAGACAACCTTGAATATCACCAGAAACAACACAGGCAAGCAACAGTATATCCTTCTCTTTCTAGACTGTTTAAAAAATACAATCGTTAAAATGTTCCAACAAGACAAAATAATAAATGGGTGTACTTCTGGAAAATTATTAATACAAATACAATTTATAAATGATTATACACCTGAAGAATAATAACAATAACTGAGAATATTTAG